TGTTCACGTCCTTTCCCCTCTCTGCAGACGCAGGCACAGAGCTTGTGCCCCGCTCCCATGGCAGGACCAGCGAGGAGGGAGCCATGACACTCCCACTGGAAGCTCGCCCTGGTGAAGGAGGGGGACTCGGACTTCTCTCCTCCCAGGCAAGCCCATCACACCCGGGATTCGGATTCATTCAGTGCTTCGCTCTGTTAAGCACCCGCCATGCTGAGTATCATCTGGGTATCATATCAGATATGTTTGGGGCAGGATTCTTGGCAGCACCCGGGTGATCTCCGTGCAGTAACCTTGCCAGGGTTGGACCCCAGTGAGCTCTTGAACTGCCATTTCGTAGATCTGAGATTCATTCACTTTGGGGGCCAGGCGGCACCCCATTAGCCCTCTGAATGTACCAAGGGCACTGGCCCCAGGGTAGTGGCCCTGCCAGCACTTTCTATAGCCCCTCTTCCCCTCACCTCTTTTGACCTCTAGACCCTAGGCCTCTAGGCCTGCTGCTCCCCTCCCACTGCGCCACGTCCCCACACAGGGGCTTGTGTTGGTAAACTGAGGCTCTGGTCTCCAGGGATGGGGGCCGGTCATGTGCAGATGCCCCTAGGACTCCTCTGGTCCCTCTCCTCCTAAGGTGCCTGATCCTGGGGCCTAAGTGGGGGGTGAAGGGGGTGCTGGGGAAGTCACAGTTGGCCTCTAGGAGCCCAGAGCTGGTAGAGGAGTAGAAGGAAGGAGGTCCAGGTGACCCCCACCCCCAGAGCCAGGCCGGTGAGGGGGCTCTGCCTTGGTCCGGGCAGGGGCAGCCTTTCACGTGGAGGGACACATGGGAAAGCTTTCAGGGACAGAGAAAGTCAGTTCAGTGACTCCGTGCTGAGGGGACTCTGGGTCAGATAAAGCTGTCAGGTGCTAGGGCTAGGGGAAAGCAAGGGGACCCTGTGGTAAGATGTCTCGAGCCCCTTCCTTGGCAGCCTCCTGGCTGTGCCCAGACTCCCTGGGCGCCCCAGCTCTCCCACTTGCCAGCCCTTGGGAAGCCAGAGCGGACGGGCTGGGAGCCATCCCAAGGTCACTCTGCTGTCCAATAATTGTCCCAGCACTCACTTGCCTCGGAACAGTAATGAGAGGGTTTTCATTATTTTCGGGTGAGCGCCCCTGGCAGATGCCGACAGCCAGCAGATGTGTAAAGTCCGAGGTGATTTGTAAGGGACCGGCTCATCTGATGCACAGTAATTGCACCAGGCGACGCTGTCACTCAGAGGCGCGTCCTGGCCTGAGGGACGAGGTAAAGGTCAGTTCAAAGAACCAGTGGGACTGCAGAAAGTGGGGGGCCTCGAGAAGGGTCAGTGTGCAAGGCCACACGCTGGCTTCAGAGGGGGTTACTGGGTTGCCCTGCCTGAGACCCCCTTCCTTCAAGGACCCTGGGTGGTGGGGTAGGGACAACACAGCCCATCCTGAAGGGTGTGCCTCTCCATGGGCCCTCTGCAGCGCTTTGGAACGCTTTGGGCAGAGGCCTCCCTGATGTTCTGGAATTCTTGCGTTCTAGCCTAAGAGGTGAAGGTTTGCTCATCCACTTGCCATACTAGGACACCACTGACTGTGGCTTAGGTAACTCACAGTTCTGTCTCTCAGCCCTAGAGGCTGGGGGACCAAGGCCAAGAAGTCGGCATGGTCAGTGCCTGGTGAGGGCCTCTTCTTGGCTGGCAGACAGCTGCCATCTTTCTGTGTGTTTGTTTAGGGCCCACATGCACAGAGAGACAAGAGTCAGATCAGAAAAGGATGGGGACAGGGGTAAAGGGGAGGAGAGGGAGCACAAATCAGCACCCTCAGGCAGCGCCACCTCCTCCTCTTCCTCCTCCTCCCCCTCTTCTTCCTCCCCCTCCTCCTCCTCCTTTCTCTTCCTCCTCCTCCTTTGGTCTTGGGGCTTGAACTCTGTCCCTAAGCTCCTTTTGCTCAAGGCTAGCTCTCTACCACTTGAGCCACAGTGCCACTTCTGGCTTTTTTTCCTGTGATTAATTGGAGGTAAGAGTGTTAGGAACTTTCCTGCCCAGGCTGGCTTTGAACCATGACCCTCAGATCTCAGCCTTCTGAGTAGGTAGGATTGCAGGCGTGAGCCACTGGCTCTGGCTCAGGCATTCTCTAATGAGGACAAAGTCCTATCATGTCAGAGCTCCTGCCTCTTGACTCTGTTTAATCTCATAAAAGGAAATTGCTACCAGGTACTAGGGGGTACACCTGTCATCCTAGCTACTCAGGAGGCTGAGATCTGAGGATCGCAGTGTGAAGCCAGCCTGGGGAAGAATAATCTGAGAGACCCTTATCTCCACTTAGCCAACACAAAGCCAAAAGTGGAGCTGTGGTTGAAGTGGAAGACCAGCTTAGAGCAAAAAAGCCAAATGAGAATGTGAGGCTCTTGAGTTCAAACCCAAGTACCAGCAGGCATGTGTGCACACACACACACACATTCAAAATTGTCCAACCACAACCACATATGGACTTGGTGAGATGTACATCAGCCCATAACGGGGTCTCACACTGGGCCCCCCACCATCTCCGTATTTATCGCTCTGGTACATGTTCCAGTGTGGCCCATGGGTGCCTCTCCCCTGCTTCAGACAGCCAGCTGGGCAGGCTGGGTGCTGAGCAGGGCACAGGGTCTTATTTGAGAATTCTGGGGCTTTTGCCCACCCCTCAAGGGCCTGCATGCTTCTCTGCAGACAGCAGAGGGCTTTGAGCGTAACCCTCTGTGGCCCAGTCAGGCCTCTGCCCTCGAGCCTCCGTTTTTGTGTCTCTTCAGCGAGAATGCTGGTTCTCCTCACGGTCTCCTTCACCAGACAGCTGGAACTTGGTGATGGCACTTGAGAGCAGGGGTATACTGTTAAGGCAGTGGCCCTCTAGTGTTGGAGGCGCTGCCTAAAGTTCCAGGTACCCAGGCTGATTATTAGAAATATTGGTGATTACTTTTATTATGCTCATTCACTTAAAGTATTAAACTGACCGCCAGCTGCCAATGGTTCACGCCTGGAACCCTAGCTTCTCAGGAGGCTGAGATCTGAGGATTGTGGCTCAAAACCACCCTGGTCAGAAAAGTCCATAGGACTCTTTATCTCTAATGAACTAGAAAAAAAAAAAAAAAGCTGGAAGTGGAGCTGTGGCTTCCGTGGTAAAGTGCTAGCCCTGAGAAGGGAAAAACAAGTGAAAGCGTAAGGCCCCGAGTTCACGCCAACACGAGAATTTTAAGAAGGGAAGAATTCAGAGCCTGCTTGGGGGTGGCACTTCAAAAAGGGACATGACTGGCAGCCCTTAGGAACGGCCTGAGAAAGGGCACCCCACCATCCTGCCCAGGGGCAGGGCTCATCCCCAACACTCTGATTTGGGAGGTGTCTGTTTTAGACAAACTTCTGTTGGGGGTCTCGAGGGAGACCGCCACCAGTGTCACCAAGTGAGTTGTGTGGCTTATTCCCGCTTGCATCTGAAGGTGTGTTTGGAGTGACAGATGTGAGGCTCTGCCATCTCGCTGTCCCACCAATTGCTCACTGTTCTGGGAAGGTCACAGCGTCGCTCATTAGCAGTAATTAGTCCCCTGGGACCCCCTGCACTTCTTCACTCAACTGCTCCATTAACTTGGGTGTGAATCACACATTGCAGGTGCCAATCAATGAAGATCTGTCCGCTCCATACAACGTGATGCTATTAGTGACAATATATTAACTGGCTAATTTAAAAATAAAAAAAGCTATCTTTATGAAGGGCAATTAACCACTAAGTGTAATTGATCATTCATAAACCTCTGATTAGGAAAGATAAATAATAAGAAAGGAATGAATCACCTGGGCTGGAGAAGACATGGGCAGCAGCTCTGTCTGCATTCACTCTGCTGTCAGAGAATCTTTGGATTCCTTCCTAAATTTAACCTGGCAACTCCAGGGCCAGGAGGACCTAGAGGTTCTGTAAGGGCTCAAGAGAGGGAGCTACATGATCCAGACTGCTTCTGGGAAACCGCAGATGAGGTCATTTAGACTCTTCCATTGGTTGTTTATTCAGCAAACGTTTGTCACGGGCCTGTATGTGCCAAGCCCTGGTGGACCGAACAGACTCCATTCCACTCATGGGGCATTTGGACAAGGGAGGACCATAATCAGATATGGACATTGGACATTGGAGGTGCTGATGTTATAGAGAAAGGAAAAGTGTGTCATGGTCGGGCACTGGTGGCTACGCCTGTAGTCCCAGCTACTCAGACACTGAAATCTGAGGATCCTCGTTTGAAACCAGCCTGGGCAGGAAAAGTCCATGAGACTCTTGTCTCCAGTTAACCAGCAACAATCTGGAAGTGGAGGTGTGGCTCAAGTAGTTCAGTGCCGGCCTTGAGCAAAAACTCTAAAGAGTCAGCACTCAGCCATGGGTGGGTACCTCTCTTATTCCGGCCTTTTGTCTTCCACTCCAGCCTCATCTTCTAGTTCCACCTCCCATTTACCTGAAAGGGTGGGGCTTGCACACCTGCTTGGCGGTGGCCTGCAAGCTTCTGTGGGGCCTCTGGCCCTGGGGCGGGAGCTTCCTCTCCTCCGTGAGAACACTGGGTGAGCCTTACAGTTGGCTAATTTTGCTAGAGCTTCTTGTTTTGTTTTGTGCTGGTACTGAGGCTGAACTCAGGGCCTCCTGCTCTCGCTTAGCTTTTTTGCTTTAAGGCCGACACACACTACCATTTGAGCCATGCCTCCAGGCCAAACAGGATGGCCAGTGGAGGGGGGGGGACACTTGGTGCAGGTGGCCCAGCCAGAGGAAGAGGCACTGGCTGAGGTGAGGGGGACGTGGGAGTCGCAGGTGTTTCAGCCTCGTGAGGGTGGATAGGAAGGGGGTGGGTGTGGCCCGGGGTCCCCTGAGAACGTGTGTGCACCGCCATGGACGCTCAGTGTGAACACACCTGTAATAGTCAGGCCACCCCAGGACCCGCAGGGCCTGGCCTGCCCGCCACGCTCGTGCTCTGACCACGCTCCCTGCATTTCCCACTCCAGACTGAAGCAGTCCGGGCTGAAGGTGAGATTCTGTACCAACGAGTCGCAGAAGTCGCGGGCGGAGCTGGTGGCGGTGCTTCGGCGGCTGGGATTTGACATCTCCGAGGGGGAGGTGACCGCCCCGGCCCCGGCCACCTGCCAGATCCTGAAGGAGCGAGGCCTTCGCCCGCACCTGCTCATCCACGACGGTAGGCTGGGCACCTTCCCAGGGCGGGGATGGGGAGAGGGCCTCGGCTCTCACCTAAAGGACACTTGGGTGAACACCTGGCTTCTGCCAAGACACTCGAGGGCCTGCGGGGCAGAGAGGTCGCGGCGCCGCCCGCTGGCGGGGGTGGGATGGGGGAGGGCCGGGCCCCATCCAGCCGGTAACCTCGACCAGTCATAGGAGGCTGCCGCGGATGGCCCTGGTAGGGAAGCCCAAGACGGTATGTCTTGACCTAGGCTGAACCAAGGGGGCCAGGGTGCCCCTGGAAGACAAATTCTAGTTCCTCGTAAAAGACAGAAGAAGGACTGGAAAGGCTAGATTGAGGGCTGGGCTTCATTTGTTACCTTAGCCCCACTCTTCAGATGGTAAGTGGCTGAAGGGACAAGGGTTGAGTCCAGATTTTATCTGAACGCCTGAATTCAAGACGAGCTCTTCCACCCTTAGGGGGAAGATTTTTTTTTTAATGTTTTTATGTGTGTGCTGGTCCTGGCACTTGAACTCACAGCCTCAGCACCTGGGCTGGGTGCTGTCCCTTAGCCTTTTCTTTTTGCTCCAGGCTGACTCTACCACTTAAGCCACAGTTGTACTTCTGCTTTTTTGCTGGTTAATTGAAGGGAAAAGTCTGATGGGCTTTCCTCCTCTGAGATCCTCAGATCTCAGCCTCCTGAGTAGCCGTGATTACAGGCATGAGCCACTGGTACCTGGGAACAAAGCTGAAGGAGCAGTAGTCTCGAGATGTTACTTAGCAGAGCTTTGGAGTTCAGGACACTGCTCTGGATGTCCACCGAGCTCTCTTCCTTCCTTCTCTGCACCTGACGTTTCTGTTGCACAAACCGCTGGGCGGAGGCAAGGCTGAGGAGAACCAGCAGAGGAGCAGGGCGCTCATGGGGAGGGTCCAAGGCGGGACTCAGTCCTGGCACCAGTCAAGGGCAACGTGCCCAGCCTTTCAACATCTTGTTTCTCAAAGTCCTTTCTCTGTGGGCTAGGATTTCTGCCAGCGTCTTTAGAAAGAAATTCCCTTCCCAACAACCAGAAAAGGCTTGCTAGACCTGGTATAGCATGGAGGCCCGGGAATGGTTTTATTCAAGGGCCCAAACAGGCAACCAGCGGAGCCTGTGAGGACGGAGGGAAGGCCGATGCCCTGCCCCTGTGAGGAACTGGGTCTGTCGTCAGTAGATGTACCTGTGTCTTCACACTGGAGTTAAATAAAAAATTTTTTTTTGCCAGTATTGGGGCTTGAACTCAGGGCCTTGTGTGTGGTAGGCAGATGCTCTACCACTTGAACTCAGGGCCTTGTGTGTGGTAGGCAGATGCTCTACCACTTGAGCCACACTCACAGCCCTTCTTTGTTTTCTTAGTTATATTTCAGATAAGGGCTTATGTTTTTGCCCAGAGCTGGCCTTGGACTTTGATCCTCCTACCTGCTGCTTCCTGAGTAGCTGGGATTACAGGCTTGAGCTACCATGCCCAGCTAGACACTGTATTATTGCATGTGTCGGGGTGTTCTTCCTGTTGCGGGGGGATCACAGAGAATGAGTGTAGTACAGTATGTTTAACCATGGTGGGTCCTGAGTTCCCTAGTTTTAGGCCATCATGAATAAGTCTGCAGTAAACAATCCTGTTCGGTTCTTTAGGGCACATACCTAGGAGCAGAATTGACGGGTCATATGGTAGGGCATGTTTAGTTTTATAAGAAACTGCCTCCCCTTTTCTAGGGGCTTGGACTATTAGACACTTTTCTGTCCTCACCAGCACTAGGTGATGTTTGTTCTTTTCACTCTTGGCATTCTGGTGGGCAGGAAGTAGCATCACTGTGGCTACATCAATTGTGTGTGTGTGTGTGTGTGTGTGTGTGTGTGTGTGTGTGTGCGCATGCGCGCGCTGGTTGAACTCAGGGCCTGGGTGCTGTCCCTTAGCTTTTTTCACTCAAGGCTAGCATTCTACCATTTGAGTTCCAACTCTACTTCCAGCTTTTAGTGGTTAATTGGAAATAAGACTCTCACAGAGGGGGCTGGGAAGGTGGCTCAGTGGTAGATCACTTGCCTTGCATGCATGAGGCCCTGGTTCGATTCCTCAGCACCACATAAGCAGAAAAAAAAATTAAAAAGCCTGAAGTGGTGCTATGGCTCAAGTGGTAGAGCACTAGCCTTGAGCTGAAGACCTGAGGGACAGCGCTCAGGCCGAGTTCAGGCCCCACGACCGGACACCCCCCCCCAAAAAAAAAAGACTTTCACGGACTTTCCTGCCTGGGCTGGTTTCAAACCACAATTTTTAGATCTCAGCCTTCTAAGTAGCTAAGATTCCAAGCATGAGCCACTGGCATCTGGTTACTTCAAGTTTTTATTATGCTTCTTCTTCTTCTTATTATTATTATTATTTTGCCAGTTCTAGGGCTTGAACTCAGGATGTCCTTGAGCTTCTTTTGCTCAAGGCTAGTACTCTACCACTTGAGCCAGAGCCCCACTTCTGGCTTTTTCTGAATAGTTTATTAGAGGTAGGAGTCTCACGGACTTTCCTCCCCAGGCTGGTTTTGAACCATAATCCTCAGATCCCAGCCTCCTGAGTAGCTAGGATGACAGGCTTAAGCCATCAGTATGCACTACTTCAATTTTTTGAATCAAGGCAGTCAACTTCTAATACTGAGGAAAAAAAAAAAAAGAACATTTTTTTTCCTAGAAAAGATGACATAAAATCAGTGACTCGGTTTATCTTTGCAACTTTCCCTGTGTTAACTGAAATGGGAGAGGGAAAAGTAGAGAGGCCCTTTTCACACGGGCTTGCGGGGTGGGGGGGGCAGCCTTCTCCGGACATGTGTGTGCATTCTCCTGAATTGTGTCAGAGGCCAGCAAACCACGCCTCAGCGCTGCAAGCGGCCTGCTTTCTCCTCCTGCCAGAGCCTGCCCCCTCCAGCTGTGGCTCTACCACAGGCATATTTCCAGGCTTCCTTCTAAGGCTCTGCGTTTCCTGCCTGCATTTTGAGCTACAGAACTGAGGGGCGAGACCCAGGAGTGGATCCAGCCTTTTACTACTAAGTTCCTATGTATAGGCGTGGAGAATACCACCCTTCCTTGTCCACTTCTTGTGGTAGTTCCCGTTCAGAAAAGCTAGCTAGGCGCCTGTGGCTCACGCCTATATTCCTAGCTACTCAGGAGGGTAAGATCTGAGGATCACTGTTCAAAGCCAGTCTGGGGAGGAAAGGCCATGAGACTCAGCTCCATTTAACCACCAGAAAACCAGAAGTGGCACTTTGGCTTAAAGTGGTAGAGCACTAGCCTTGAGTAAAAGAGTTCAGGGACAGCACTCAGGCCTGAGCTCAAGCCCCATGACTGAGAAAACAAAAAGAAAAATGTTAGTTGCTGGTTCACTCCTGTAATCCTAACTACTCTAGAGGCTGAGATCTGAGGATCATGATTTGAAGCTAGCGTAGTCAGGAAAATCCATGATATTCTTATCTCCAGTTAACCACCAAAAAGTCAGAAAGATGTGGCTCAAATGATAAGAGCACCAGCCTTGAGGGGAAAAGTTCAGGTACAGGTCCTGAGTTCAAGTTCTAGTACCTGCAGAAAGGAAGGGAGGGAGGGAGGGAAGGAGGAAGAGAGGAAGGATAGAGAGAAAAAGAGAGAGAAGAGAGAGAAAGAAGAGTAAAAGGGTAGACCTGACATGCAGAAAGTACCCCTGGTTGGAGCTGGGTTGTCTCTGGATTAATCTCTCTCTCTCTCTCTCTCTCTCTCTCTCTCTCCGTGTCTCTTTCTTTCTCTGTCTCTCTCTCTCTCACCCCCTTTCAGGAGTCCGCTCAGAATTTGATCATATTGACACATCCAACCCTAACTGTGTTGTGATTGCGGATGCTGGCGAAGGCTTTTCTTATCAGAACATGAACAAGGCCTTCCAAGTGCTCATGGAGCTGGAAACCCCGGTGCTCATATCCCTAGGAAAAGGGTGAGTGGTTCCAGGCAGCTCTGGACAGTGGCTGTGGTCCTTGACCCAAACAGAGGACACAGGCAAGGACATGGCATGGGTGACCTTCTCCATCTTCACTTCCTTCCTCCTTTCGTCCCTCCCTCCTTCCCTCCTTCCCCTCCTTTCCTCCCTCCCTCCTTCCCTCCTTCCCCTCCTTCCTTCTCTACATAACTTTTTAGGAAGCTGCAGGAACTGGTTTGATCAAGCAGACCTTGGGCTCAGAGAGGCTAGGGACGTCCATGCAGATGTAGGCCCTGAAGTTCTCAGGCCAAATATTGAGTGTCCAAAGTCTAAAGCAGGTAACAGTGCCCAGGCACAGCTCCAGATACTGATTTCAGGTGGTGTGGCCAGGCTTTGATGTGTTTTGTTTTTCTTTTTCTTTGGCGGGACTGAGGTTTGCATTTGGGGCCTGGCCTTTGCTAGGCAGGTGTCTGCCACCGTGAGCCACGTGCCTGTCCTGTTTTTGCTTTAGTTATTTTTCAGATGGGATCTCATGCTTTTGTCTGTGGACCGAGATCCTCTTACTTACATCTTCTGCATAGCTGGGACGATGGCCGAGCCTCTGGGCACAGTCTTTAACCTTCTTTTGTCTCCTTTTAAAAAACAAAACCAAACCATAGTGTTGTGTCAACACTGTCATGACTGCAGCTAGGACTGGATGTCAATAAAATGGGGTGAGCATAGGAGAGAGGGCAGGCTGAGTCAGGAGGATTGGGGGCCGAGAGAGGACAGACATGTATGTATTTTTAGAGGCTGAAAATTTCTCGTGTTTGTAGTATGCTTACCCTAGAAATGAAACAGGTCCTGTACTAATCAGAGCTCTTCAAATAGGGATGTAAAGGAGAAGGCGGGGGAGAGGAGGAGAGGGAGGAAAGCACGAGAGCTAGAGGAGGTGGGGAAGGCACGGCATCTGCAGCACAGGGAGCGGCCTGAGGTTCTGGGCAGAGCCGCCGCTGGCCCTCCGTTGGAGGACTCTTCTTGCTCCCAGGAGATCAGTTTGCTCTGCGAGCTCCTTCCATGGACTGGGTAAAATCTATTTTACCCAGACTCCAGTGATTTGAACATCAATTCCATCCAAAAGCCATCTTCACAGAAATAAGCAGAATCGTATTTGATCTCCTCTCTAACCACCATGGCCCAAAGAAATGGGCATAAAATTAACCATCTAGTATGGGTCGTCGTGACATAGGTATGCTGTTGGGAGGAAGGAAGATGGAGGCCTTGTGCTCGGCGTGTGGCCCTTGGTGGCTCAGAGGCAGACGTGGGGCAGTACAAGATGGCTGGGGCTCTGGACACTGGGCTTCTGTCTTGAGCTCAGGGTGGGCGTGTCAGAGCCAGCAGCTTTTAGAGGGGTCACAGTTGCTGAGGGCAGCCCAAGGGCCCCGAGGAGCTGCTGTCAGTGCCAGGCTGGGCTGGAGCTCTGCTGGGGTGGGCCTGGGGGCGGGGAGGCCCGAGCACCCGCTGGAGTGATTTACATTTGGCATCTGTTTGGACCCAGGGTGGGAATTGGCTTTGTAATTTCTTCTGTCATGCCGCCATCAGAAAATTAAGCTGTTTATGAGACAGACTATGGAAGGTTAATGGCTCTTCTGCGAAAGGTCAAGTGGTCATTTTGCAGGGAGGCTCTGCTGGAGGGTGGGAAGCAGCAGGAGAATGAAGCAGAAAACCCGATCTGACTGCCCACTCTCCCCGGGTCCATCGGGCCTCCTTTATGGGGGCGCCCGTGGGGCCTGGCCAGGCTGCTGGGACTGTGTGTGCAGGAAGCCGAGAAGTTGATCCGGCCTCTACCGCACTTCTGAACAGTGGTCCAGACCAGTGGTCAGCTTGGATGGCCTTTTGTGTTCCCAGTGACTAAAAACCCTGGGTCCTTTTCAGCCAACCCCGACCCAGTTAAAGAATAAACTACAGGGCTGATTTTGACATTGGACTCTAAAAATGACCCTAACAAGGGCAAGGTTGGGGTTGTATAGTGTAAGCCACACAATCCGGAACTAGATCCAGGTGCAAGAAAGTCCAAGTTATCTGTTTGTTTTGTGCTAGTACTGGGGCTTGAATTCATGGCTTGTCCCTTAGTGTTTTTGCTCAAGGCTGGCGTTCTACCGCTTGAGCCACAAATCCACTTCTCCATTTTTGCTGATTCATTGTAGATAAGACTCTCAAGGACTGTCTAGCCCAGTCCAGCTGTGAACCAGGATCGTCAGATCTCAGCCTCCTGAGTAGCTAGGATTACAGGCGTGAACCACTGGTGCCCAAAGAAAGTCCTATGGGTTTAGAGGAAGCCAGCAGAGCTGTGCCCTGGAATCTCTTCAAGGGCTTTGCTAAGGAGGGAGGCTGATTCCAGCACTCTGTGCCTCCAGCTGGTCCCAGATCAGCCCAGGGACCCAGAAGCCCCCTGAATCCCCAGCTCCCAATAGCTGTGCCTGTTACAGCAGCTGGTTTGGATTTGGAGGTGTCCACTTGCTTTGGGGTGAACGTCCCCCATGCTGGGTGCCCTCTGCCCTCCCCTGTGTCCTCCCCTCTGTCCTCTGCCCACCCATGCCTACCCACTTTGCCGTGCTCTTTCTTTAGAGGCCCTTCCTGGCTCTAACCTTTCTGGCCCGCTATAGCCCCCCAAACTTCCTATCCCATGAGCAGGGGGTAGAGGGTGGGGCTGTGAGGGCTCACTGTGGCCCCCAGCAGAGCAGATTCCAAGATGGCCCCAGGCCTGCTCCCTCCCCTTCCTCTTGGTGAGGTAACTTCCTCCCATCCCAGGGCTCCCCTTTGAGTCCTCTCTGTCTCTCAGTCCCCGGGCTGTCCACTACGATTATAGGCCTGAGCCACCAGTGCCCCCCTCCACCGTGGGCTCCTTTTTTCCTTCTAAGATAAGTTCTTGCAAGGTAGGCTAGGCTAGTCTCAAACTCAAGGCCTCCGCCTCAGCCTCCTAAGTAATGGGTGGAAACATTTTTTGAGGCTGTAGAAAATGCAAGATGAATGTCTGAATTCTGGATTTAGGAAGAGAAACAAGGCACCACTATAGGCCTGTGGGCTGGGGTCACTAGACAGGAGATGCCCACAGCCGGGGCACATGGACCCCGGGTGACTGACAGGTGGCAGGCCGGGGTCCGCGCCTCCGCTTGAGCAGCCACAGCCACTGCTGGAAAGCGAAGTGAGCATCCGGATCTGAGGTGTGCCACCTCTCCGGTCTCTGGGCTCTGGACCTGGGCTTAGTGAAGGCCCCTAACTCTGCGGACCGGGACAGAGGGGACCCTGACATGGCAGGTGGCAGACCCCAATCCCTTTGTTCCTCTTGGTCGTCAGCGAGTCCTGTCTTCAGGACTCGCTTCAGGAGCAGCATGGCTGACTCACATCTCCTCCGACCCCAAATGGCTTTGCTCGGAGCCCCAGGTCTGGTCCGCCCTGTGACAGGGACGGGAGGTGCCTTGAGGCCCAGTTCCAACGTGGGGCGGAGCCGGCCGGGCCTGCGCGCTGCCTTGGGAAGGCAGAGGGTCTTGTCTGCTTGTGGAAGCATCCGGCTCTGTGAGCTGTGAGCGGCTCGCCTGACCTCAGCAGGGTGCTGCGGAACGGCGTTTTCTTCTTCAGGTGGTTCTTCAAGGGTTAATGATTAGCCATTGGGGGTTCACCACGGTCTCTGGGGGCCTGCCGCCCTGTCTCAGACACAGGCCACTTGTGTTTCTGTGTGTGAGCACCTGGGTCGTCTGTCCCCTGGGGACCCTGGCTGATCATTGCATCAGGGTCCCCAGATGGCCCGAGGGTCACTGAGACTGAATGACCCATGGTATGCCGAGCTGCTGGCCCCAGGCTCTGCCGAGGCCTCCGCGCGTCCATGCTCACCTGCTGTCCTCCTCCCTCCGCTCACCTCCTCCCTCGGCTCACCTCCTCCCTCGGCTCACCTCCTCCCTCGGCTCACCTCCTCCCTCGGCTCTCTTGCAGGCGCTACTACAAGGAGACCTCTGGCCTGATGCTGGACGTCGGAGCCTACATGAAGGCGCTCGAGGTACGGGCGCCATGCCCTCTCCAGGGCTGCCCCAGAAGGTGTTCCCAGGCTTTGTGGAGAAGAGGGTGGGCTCCGTGTGTGCATGGTCTTTCCTGCTTTAAAGAAGGTGTTCCCACAGGGGCTTCCAGCCACGCAGTCTGTCTCCATGTCCCCACGCTGCCTTCCTTCCCACTCCCAGCCTGTGCCCCAGCCTGCTCTCTGCCACCTCCTGACTCATGGCTGCCTCCTGGACCCTGGTCCTCTTCAGCCAGTTGGGCTGGACTCCCTCAGAGACCTCCCTGGCTTCCTTCCCACCCCCTCCCCCCCTTCAGCTTACAAGGCTCCAGAGTCTGCTCTGACCCCGTCGCATTAGCTGCCCCCTTGCAGGTCAGGTCAGCCTCAGGGCCATGCAACCTCCCCCCTCCCCCTCTCCCCCTCCCTCCGTACCTGTGGGAAGGATGGCCAGCGGGGCAGGAGGAGCCCTTGGGCTCGCAGGAGCGCCATGACAGGGCTAGAGGTGCACTAGGAAAAAAATTAGACAGGGACAAGAGAACAGAAGCAGCTGGGCGCTCGTGGCTCACACCTGTCATCCTAGCTACTCAGGAGCCGGAGATCTAAGGATCAGGGTTCAAAGCCAGCCCTGGCAGGAAAGTCCATGAGGCTCTTATCTCCAATCCAGTTGACCACGAGAGAGCCAGGAGTAGAGCTCTAGCTCAAGTGGTAAAGCACCAGTCTTGGGCAAAAAAGCTCAGAGATTGTGCCCAGGCCCTGAGTTCAAGCCCCAGGACCAGTTCAGACAGAGAGGGAGGGAAAAGGAGGGAGAGGGAGGGGAGGGGGGAGACAGAGAGAAAGAGGAGTGCCAGAGTCCCCGGCAGCCCGAGTGGAGTGGTGATGCCCTTGCGGGTGAGCTGTGTTCACATGCTCCCTTGGCTCTGGGGGACACACTGGGACACACGCGTGTCCTCAGCCTCACACCTGTGCTGTCCTGCCTCTCCAGTATGCCTGTGGTGTGGAGGCCGAGGTGGTAGGGAAGCCGTCCCCTGAGTTCTTCAACTCCGCCCTGCAGGCAATGGGCGTGGAAGCCCACCAGGTAAGAAGACCCAACTTCTTGTCTTGCACGGATGTCAAACCTACGCGCAAGTGCGTGGTGAGACGGTAAGCTGCCCAGTGTCCGCCAGCCACGCGCTGCCCGCACGCTTCCTTTCTTTTCTTCTTAGCCTGGATTAGTTGTACAACGTGCCCAGGCTCACTATGCTGTTTTCATACATGAACACCAGGTCTAGTCACTCACCTGCCTCCATCACTCTCTCCCAGCCCGCCTCCTCTTCTCAAATAGTCTTTTTTCTCCTTTTCTGTCTTTTTATTAAAATCTAGATTCTACATATGAGGGAAAACATGAATCTGGCTTATTTCATGTAACATAATGTTCTCCAGTTCCATTCATTTCCTGAAAGTGACATCATAGTAGTCTTGTTTATGGCTGACTAATACTCCATTGTGTATAGACCCTGCATTTACTTTATCCATTCAGCTGCTGATTTCCTGGCTTGCCCATCATGAGTACTGCTACAGTAAATATGGGTGTACAAGTGTCTCTGTTTTGTGCTGACTAGATTTTTTCACATATAAACTGTTTACTTTCTCTTAAATGTCTTTTTAGTCAGACACCAGTGGCTCATGCCTATAATTCTAGCTACTTGGGAGACTAGTATTGGGAAAATTACAGTTTGAGGCCAGCCCAGGCAAAAAGTTTACAGTACCCCCTTCGTACCCAGAGTAGCCATGTGAAGAGGCTGAGATAGAGAGGATCATAGTTCCAGGCCAACTCAGGAAGAAAAGTCCATAAGACTCAATTGAAGATGCTGGGCATGGAGGCGCACACTGCGTCGCAGCTATAGTGAGAAGTGGAAAATAGAGGACCACAGTCCAAATGTGTGCCCAGGCAGGATGCAAGACTCTATCTCAAAGGCAAGCCGTGCAAAAAGTGCTAGAATGTGGCTGAATGGTAGAGTTCCTATCTAACATGGCCTGAGGCCCTGGGTTCAAATCCAGTGCTGCAAAGAAAACAGGGCACCTTTTTTTGTTTGTGGTGTTTTGTTTTGTTTTTTATTTTAGTCTCAAAAGTTTTCCTTCTTTGGACTCTGAAGCACTAGGATTACAGACATATGCTACCATGCCTAGTTCCTGTCATAATTTAAAGTAAATCTCAGGTCTTCTTGTCTCCTTTCATAGTATAACATGCTCTTGAAAACATTTTTTTAAATGTGTGTTCCAGCACAGGGCTTGACTCAGATCCTGAGCGCTGTCCCTTAGCTTTTTCACTCAAAGCTGCTGCTCTACCTCTTAAGCCACAGCTCCACTTCTGGCTTTTTGGTGGTTAATTGAAAATAAAGAGTCTCATGGACTCTCTTGCCTGATCTGACCTCAAATTGTGATCCTTCTGATCTCTGCTTCTGAATAACTGGGATTGTAAGCATGAACGACTGTACCCTTGATTTTTCCCTTCATTATTCTGTTGTGAATAACTTTCTTGGTGCTTTTTCTGAGTAATTTTTGTGACTGCATCGTAGTCCACCAGATGGATGCTCATTATGTTCTTTACCATGTCCTACTGTCGGATGCTAGGTGGTTTCCAAACTCCTGCTTATATATCCAACACCTTTGCGTGCTATCCTCCTGTACCTGTCTGCTTTGCCACGGACCCTGTTGGCATGGTCATGATGTACATTCAACTTCAGACGGTTTGTCAGTTTGCCTTCCTGCCTAGTAGTTTGTGAGGGGACTTGTGGCCCCTCATCCTAACTCACGCTGTTGTTTCTTGTTGCTTGGAAAATAATGCTCCTTGCATTTGGCTGTGTCACCACCGTTCCTTGTGATGGAATGTACCTGTCCATGGAGGAAACGTTGAACCACTTGTGAGTTTCTCGGGGAGCTGGTGGTCTGATGACACGTGGGATTGTACTCCTCGGGGCTGCAGGTCAGAGGCTGAGCTGGGCCTCCGTCCCTACCCAACCCTGCACACAGCCAGCGGAGTCCCGGGCTGCCAGGCTCTGAAATGTTTGCCTGCCAGGGCATTGCACCATTGGGCTGTGTCCTCCTGTACCCAGCTGGGAGCAGAGAGACGCAGCATGCAGGCTGCATCTAAGGGGAGCGGTGGCTCTGCCTTAGAACCAGGGGCCCATGGTGGCGTCCCGCGGCTATCTGGATATCCAGCCTCTGTGCATGTCCAACCTCTTGGCTCTGTGACTCCCCCCTACCACTGCAGTCAGAAAGGAAGTGAAGCCCGGGCCTGACAGGTGGAGTGTTTTATTTCCCATGACAGCGCACCTCCTGACCTCCATCTTCTTGCCAGTGATTTTTAAATCCTAAATGATTTGGCGATAATTGCTCCTCCTGGCGCGATTATTGCCCTTCACCGATAGTAAATCTGCCAACTCCCCAGGGTCCCCAGGTTCAGTACGCGGAGACCACAAGCTGGCGCGGACAAGCACCGCTGCCCAGGGCAGCTCTGGCCTCCGCTCGCTGCCTCTCTCACAGGTGCCCGGGGCTCTGCCCAGACGCAGGCATTGCTTCAGCGCACGGAGCCCCAATCCTCGATGGCAGCTCTCCTTCCAGGGAGCGGGTGGAGGACCATCCGTGTCCCAGGACCCAGAAGCCTGAGGGGCCAGGAGCCACTGGGCTCTGAGGTGGATGCTGTGGCTATTGATAGTCTCAGGCAGCCCCTCTAGGAGGGTGAGGCAGAGTTCAGTGAGGGTCATCTGGCCGCCTGGTGCCCGAGGCCTGGCCAGGTGTGATGCCAGGCGGCCGGGGCCCGTCCCGCTGCAGGACGCCCCGTGCTGGCCCGTGTTGGGGATCAGCTGTGTGAAGGTCAGCACACACACGAACCCCCTTGTTTGTTCTCAGTGTTCCCCAACACTTCACCATCAGAAATATTCCAGCTTTTACCACAGCTGGGTCCTTGCCGTCAGCTCTGCTACTCTTGTTGTTTTGTGCGCGTCCTGGGAGGGGGCTTGAACTCAGCCTGGATGCTGCCCTTAGCTTATTTGCTCACAGCTGTCTCTCTACCACTTGAATCATACTTCTCCTTCTAACTTTTTGCTGGTTAATTGGAGATTTAAATAAGAGTCTCATGGACTTTTCTGTCCACAGCCCTCAGCGCTCAGCCTCCTGAGTAGCTAGGTTAAGGCACCAACTACTGGTGCCTGGCCCAGGTGTTTTGTTTTTCAAATTGACTTCTTTTTTACATGGTAAAAGTATGTTCAAAGAACATAGTGTGGCTGGGCACCAGTGGCTCACACCTGTAATCCTAGCCACTCAGGAGGATTATGGTTCAAAGCCAGCCCAGACAGGAAAGTCCATGAAACTCTTATCTCCAAGAAACCACCACAAAACCGGAAGTGGTGCTGTGGCTCAAGTGGTAGAGCGCTCACCTTGAGCTGAAGAGCTGAGGGACAATGCTCAGCCCCAGAGTACAAGCCCCATGACTGACTAAGGAAAAAAAACATACTGTGGCTCCTTACTACATAATTCTATGTAATGTGACCACATGAAGACATGGGTTCCACCTAGAGTGTCCATCAGACCCTCAAAGAAGGAGGTGGAGGGAAAGGCGGAGAAAACTGGAGGGGAGTCGGAGGTAAGAGGTACTCAGTGCTTTATAGCAAGAAGAGTTCAAGCCCCATGACTGACAAAACAACAACAACAACAAAAACCATCTATTGCCAGGCACTGGTGGCTCACACCTGTAATCCTAGCTACTGAGGAGGCTGAGATCTGAGGATCGTGTAGTTTGAAGCCAGCCTGGGCAGAAAGGCCGATGTCACTCTTATCTTCAATTAACCACCAAAAAACCCAGAAGTGGCGCTGTGGCTCCAAGTGATAGACGGCTAGCCTGGAGCAAAAGAGCTCAGGCACAGCGCTAGGCCCTGAGTTCAAGCCCCACATCCCACAGAAATAAATAAAATAAATACATTGATTAATTTTCCTTTCTTTTAGAATGCTTAGCTCTCCAGGCCCCGGCCAGATGTGTAAGCTCACACAGTTCTGTTTGGCCGCCACACCAGTGACACCCATTTTGCAGATTGAAGTGGAGCTTGCCCCAGTCCCATAGCCAGCACAGAGCAGAGCTGGGATTCCAGCCTGGCTGTCCTGGCTGATGTGAAACGTGAGCTCTGTCCATCCGTCCTGCCCCCCACAGCACTCCCCCCGCCCCCGGCCAGGCACAGGCACCGGCAGGGCCCGAGCCCACGGGCCCACGGGCCCGCGCACAGCCCGGCTCCCTCACTCTGGAGGCTCGGCGCCATCGGATCCTCCCTCGATGCGCTTGTGTGTTAGTTTGTTCACCGCTGACCCTGCCTAGCATCGGACCCCAGGGCGTCCTGGTGGAGTCAGGAGACCTCGAGTATCAGGAGACCCACCTGGCCCGGGCCTCCTTCCTGCCCAGGGCCATTCCTGCCTTACACGGTTTATCTCCGAGCAGTCCTTCCACTGGCAAAACCTTCTAGAAATGTTTCAGAGGGTTTACTCTGATTCTCCTGTGTGGGAATGAGAGAACTTGGGTTTGTTTGTTTTTTCTTTTTCTTTAAAAATAAATGTATTTGTCGGGTGCTGGTAGCTCATGCCTGTAATCCTAGCTGCTCAGGAGTCTGAGATCTGAGGACTACAGTTTGAAGCCAGCCCGGGCAGGAGAGTCTGTGAGACTTATTTCCACTAAACTGCAAAAAAAAAAAAAAAAAAGCCAGAAATGAAGAAATGAAGCTATGGCTCAAGTGGTTTGAGCACTAGCCTTGCGCAAAAAGAAACTCAGAGTCAGCACCCAAGCCCTGAATCAAGCCCAGGACTGATGAAAAGAAAAAAAAAGTGTGTGTGTTTTATCTATGTGTATATATGGCCAGGCACTAGAGCTTATGCTGTGGTCTCAGCTAGGGAGGAGGCCTAAGGAGGAGGATTGCAGTTCAAGGCCAGCCTCTATCCAACCAATAATTAAAGCAAAAACACCAGGTGCGTGGCGGCCCGGAGTTCAGACCTCAGTATGGCAAAAAACAACCAGCAACATGAATTTATATAGGGAGGTATGAGTCAATGTAATCAATAATATTAATTGGGCAAAAGAGACCCACAAATGGCAAAGTGCCAGCATCACGGGCGTGGCCTGTCATAGTCCCTACCCACATGGGTGACATAAGTCCGCTGGTTGCCGTGCAGTGTCTCGGAACACAGTCCACCCCGTTCCCCTGAGGCCCCGTCCCACCGCCTGCCTTTCTCCAGGAAAGAAGGGAGCCTGTTGTAATGTGATGCATGACAGCAATGCTGGGGGTGTCACCTGCATTGAGTCAGGAGCGGGGGTGGGGTGGGGAGGGGCGGGGGGGTAAGCGCCCCCTCCCTTCTGTGCACACACCTCTCCAACCAGCAGCCCGCTGGGTTTGCTGCAGGCTTTCTTTCACGTGTCTGTCCTTCCTTTTACATTTCTTTCTTTGGAAGCCCTGTCATTAATTCTGTGCCCTGGTGCCTGGTTTGCACTAAAACTACAGAGATTCCACGCAGAGGCTCCAGTGATCACTTCTGCAGTAAAGATGAGATCCGGAAGGCCAGGTCACATGCCACAGAACCAGCGAAGACAGCTCAGGCTGGTGATCATCTAAATAACAGAGCTTTACTTGCCCAAAATTCTGAGGCTGGAAATCTAGGGTATCAGGGAATCCAGTTTCTGAGTTGGGGAGCCCTTCCTGGCTTACCGGCCAGACTTCCAAAGTGGCGGCTGTCAGGATGAGTGAGGGGACTGAGGCAGGAGGGTCACAAGTTCCAGGCGAGATTGTTTCAAAGCAAATGGTCCAAGATGGTGGTCATCTTAGTTCATGTTGTGTGACTGTAACAGAATGCCTGGCACTGGGTGCTTTATAAAGAAAAAAAGATTCTTTAGCCCAGTTTATTAGGAGTTTGTGTGGAGACTGAAAGCCCAAGGTTGGGTGTGCCCACCGCTCAGGCTGTGGTGGGGCTTGGTTGCATCACCACATGGAGAGAAGCCAACAGGAAACCACAGCAAGCAGAGGCCAGGCACAGGGCCGCCGTTCTAACCTGACTCTCAGTCCACTCCCTTCCACGTGGGGCTCATGACACCCCCGCTAGGCTCCTCCCCTTAAAGGTCCCACCACCACGCTGCCCGCCCCGCGTCCAGCTTGAGCCCTCTGGAGACACACCCACACCATGTCCCGCCCTCCTGCTGTGTCCTCCCGCGGCCTTGCTTCCGTGTCCCTTCCGAGGCTCTGGAGGCTCTGTGGCCTCCTAGGGCCTTTTTTAATGCCAGTACTGGGGCTTGAACACAGGGTCGCAAACTCTCACTTGGCACTTAGCTATTGCTCAAGGCTGGCTTTCTACTACCGGAACCACAGCTCAACTTGCAGCTTTTTGCTGATTAATTGGAGATAAGAGTCTCGCTGATTTTTCTGCATGATCCTCAGCTTTCAGCCTCCTGAGTAGCTTGGATTACAGGCGTGAGCCACTACGTCCTGTAGTCTTAATTGCCTTCCTAGAGGCTCTGCCTCTAAATACAGCAACACTGGGGTTGAGGCTTGTTTCAGTGGAAGAGTCTGTCCCAGAGGCTGCATATGAAGTTTCCTCTGTGTGTGTGTGTGTGTGTGTGCGCGCGCGCGTGCGCGCGCACACGTGCACATGCACACACACACCATTTTTGTTGTTATATTTTGTATTTGATAGGCTGTATGCAGTGTTTTTTGTTTTTAATTTTTATCAGTCATGGGGATTGAACTTGGGGCCTGGGCTTTTGTGCAGGGCTACGGCCCTACCACTTCTAGGCATAGCTCCACTTCTGACTCTTTGGTCATTGATTGGAGATGAAAGTCTCACAGACTTTCTGCCTGGGCTGGCTTTGAACTGCGATCCTCAGATCTCAGCCTCCTGAGTAGCTAGGATGACAGGTATGAGCCACCAGCACCTGGCAATCGGCAGTACTTTTACTATTGAAAGCATCCACGCCATAGGCTAGAAAGATTCGCCAGGGATTTACTTAGTTCCCAGGGAGCCGAGGGCTGGCTGCCTGTTCTCAGATCTTAGGGTCCACGGAGAGCACAGTTGGTACCGTGCAGAGGCAGCGTCAGCAGCCCCGCGCACCCTTGGGGCACCAAATCACTCTGGCACCTGCCGATTGATTTCAAAGTGCACAAATAGATACCGTTCAGAGCCACGGCCCGTGGGGGCAGCAGGAGGTATATTCAAGGTGCGTTGACTTTTAATCGATACGGTGACAATATTATCTTGTTTAATTTGTACAATGGTGGTGTTAAACATCAAATCAAGCAGTTTATTATGTCAAAAAAGATGAAGGAGCACAGGAATAAAATTTTCCTGACATCAATTGGGGCGTATTTCACTCCCGTGACAGGCCATCATGATCGGGGACGATATTGTGGGCGACGTCGGCGGCGCGCAGCGGTGTGGGATGAGAGCGCTGCAGGTGCGGACGGGGAAATTCAGGTGCGTGCCTCACGTCCCCTGCCTCCTCTCCTCTAGCTCCTGGGCTGAAGCATCTCCTTTTGCTCTGTTCTCTGAAACAAAGAGGGCTTTAGCGGGCTTTTCGTTCCTCGTGGATGGGCATTGCATGGATGGTCACTTGAGCCACACTTCCACTTCTGGCTTTAAAAAAAAAAAAACCACTTTTTGGGGGCTGGGAATGTGGTTTCATGGTACAGTGCTGGCCTAGCATGCGTGAAGCCCTAGGTTCGATTCCTGAGTACCACGTACCCAGAAAGAGCTGGAAGTGCTGCTGTGGCTCAAGTGGTAGAGTACTAGCCTTGAGCAGAAAGTTCAGGGTCAGTGCCCAGGGCCTGAGTTCAAGCCTGGACTGGAAACAAAACAAAACAAAAACTCACTATTTAACTGGAGATAAAGACTCTCAGATTTGTCTGCCTGGCTGGTTTTGAGTCTCGTCCTCAGATCTGAGCCTTCTGAGTATCTGGGATTACAGGCGTGAGCCACCGGCCGCTAGCTTGCCCAGGCAGGCTCTGGCTGTGGAAACAGATCCTGGTAGGTATGAGGTGCAGAGATAAAGGCTCTGTTCCAGGTGCTGCCCCCCGCACCCCCCCCCCGCCATGCGGGCGGGCTGCGTCTGTCCCCTCCCTCAGGCGGTGTGGGAGCCTCGCTGAGGCAGAGGTGTAGTGGGTGGCCTCAGCTCCTCGCTCTTTGTCCTTTCGCCCCTCGTCTGTGAGGAGCGGAGAACTTAGAAATGGCAGGTGGGCTCTCAGGAAAAGCATGCTTTCTCGTGCTGGGTCCTCCTGGGTGTGAGCTGGCCGCCGGCAGCACGTGGAGATGCCCTGTGGTGACCAGGCCCGGGTCACTGTCCTTGACAGTGCTGTAGACACCAGAGTGTGGCCATTCAGGGAAAGGACAGTGCTGGCGATGCTGGAGAGATGTGGGTAAGACACGGGGACCCCAGGCAGCAGCTGTGAGGTGTCTCCTGGCTGAGGAGCACGTGTGAACACCAGGCGGGGAGGAACACTGTGCTTCTGGAAGTCTCCGCCCAGCTCCTTCCCCGATCCTCCCAGGGGAGAAGCCCCCCCACCCCACAAACCCCGCTGTACCTGGAACACACACCTTCTCTCTTCCCTCAAGGAGTCCCTGGGTTCCAGTGCTCAGGTGTGGCCAAGGGCGTGAGGGAGAGAGGCAACCCCATGCCCAGCCTCCCGGCCCGGCCGGGCCTGGCGGGGTCTGCCTGCCGCTCAGATAGAAACCCCGCACGGGTGTTGTACAGGAGGGGGAGGTGATGCCTCCCGGGCTCTTCTGGAGGCCGGGCCTCCAACGCACCGGGAGCTTTTGTGTCTGGCCTATCTCCAATAAATCACTCAGAAAACCAGAAGTGGTGCTGTGGCTCAAGTGGTGGAGTGCTGGCCTTGAGCTGAAGAGCTGAGGAACAGCGCCCAGGCCCAGAGTTCAGGCCCCACGACCGACAAAAAAAAAAAAAGTTTTTTTAAGGTGAAGCTGAGGAATACCGCTTGGAACACAGGCAGCTTCGGGATTGTTGGGAGAAACCACGCTGTCTTTCTTGATTAACTCTGCCCTCAGTTGGGGTCTTTCTGGCCCAACCAAGCCAGACAGCCCTGTGCAGAGTGTGTCTGCTTCATTGCAGGCTGGAGCCAGGGGCTGCCCAGGCCCTGCAGAAGGTCCCTTCACTGGAGGGAGGCCCACAAAGGAGGAGGAGGCGCAGGGGGGCTGTGCGCACTCCCCACCACCAAGTTCCGGGTACCTGCCTGCCATTTAAAAGTGTACACGGAGCAAGGGCACAGCCTAGTGGCAGAGCACCAGCCTGCCGCGCACAGCGCCTGGGCTCGAGCCCCAGCAGCGCACACACTAGTGAATCAAAGAAGGTTTAAATATCCACAGGTGGTTTACCCCTGAAGAGATAGCCATCCACAGTTTACCAGATCCTTCCAGGTATACATAGACCCACTTGGTGTGTGTGTGTGTGTGTGTGTGTGTGTGTGTGTGTGTTCCTTTTTCTTGCACACTGTTTTATGGCATGACCAATGGCATGCTGCATGTGCCTGGCACTCAACCAGCCCTCAGCTGATGACCAGGGCTGCCTGTCTGGCTCCTAGGAACTGTCACCTCGCCTTGGTTTGAGAGGGTGGGGCCTGGCCCCTCTTGATTCTCTTCATGTATAGGTAGAGATCTACCTCCTTCATCAACCTGCAGACAGAGGGACGGAAAGATCAGGACAGAGCCATGCCCGGGGGTCGAAGGGTGGGAGCACTGGGCAGAACCCGGGAGCCACGAGCTGCAGGTGGCCCCGGAGTGCTTGAAATACAGCTGGAACGTGATGGAGGGATGAGTGGCAGACCGAGCAAGAACAGATTGTCTCCTAGCTCAGTAGTGACTTTCTATAGTGGCTGCTGGGTGAAAAGATGGGTGTTTTATGTTGATTTGCCTGTTGATGGTACTTGTCTGTGAACGGAGCTATTTGAAAACCGCTGGCCCCTGTGGCTGGTATAGTGCTGCTCTTGCACTTCCCCCTTCTCCCTGCAGATGGCACCCTCGACGCTCAGAGGGGCCTGCCACTGGCAGGCTGGCCGCCAGAGGGGCAGTGTGCCGAGCCTGGCGGTGCTGGGGGCGGGGTTGGTTTGGGGAAGTTCCGTATAGAGCTCCCTGTGATGTGTGGCTGGCCAAGCCAGTGGGCGCCTGGCTACATTGGAGACCCCCTCTTCAAGTGGGGAGAGCAACGGGACAGGTGTCAGGATACATCACCCTGCCCACAGGTGGCCTTGGAGCTGTGGACAGAGAAATGCAGATGAGGGAAATGCATACCGTGGTTTAATAGCCCAGGTAAGGGCCTGGTGGTCTTCCCACCTGCTCTGCTCCTGACACACTGGGTACTCTGGGCATGCTGTCAGACATGGTATCGAAGGCCGGGTAGCTGCTCCCCCACACTGGCTGGTGGGGACCCCGTGACCCCACACCCTGTCAGGTTTGGAGGGCCTGCACCGGAGCGAGGCTGCCTCCCAGTGGGCGCCTGGCCGCTGCTTTTCTCCACTGGCAGCGCTGACCCCGTGGTCAGGTATGTCACAGCAGATCTGCCAGTCCAGCCTTATGTCAGGGCCAGGCCTCCTTTTCCTGTGCAAGAACAAGAAGGGGCGCGTGGCCCTGCGGGAGAGCTCCCCGCCCCCTGTGGGGTAGGAGCAGTCGCCAGCATGGCCAGGCCTTGCCTCTGTCCCTGTTTTTCTATTGCTTCTACTGGGGCTTGAACTCAGGCTTTGCTTTTCTGTTCAAGATTGGTACTGTACCACCTGAGCCACACCTCCACTTCTGGTTTTGTTGGTGGCTAATTGGAGATAGAGTCTTATCCTTATTCCTGCCTAGACCAGCATCAGACCATGATCTTCAGATCTCAGCCTCCTGAGTAGCTAGGATTGCAGGTGTGAATTCAGTGGAGTGTGTGCGTGTGAGTGTGTGTTTAGAAATATAGCCTTTATCACAATCCATCTCGTAACACTGTCACCAAAAGAAACCCTGCCGTCATCAATACTGAAGTCCTCCTTTCCCCCAGCACTAGTCTGCTTTCTGCCATGTTCTCGTTATTGTGGCAGAATTGTATAGCATACGATTAGCCGTTAAATTATGATGTCAGTAAAGTCTGAACATATAGCTTAATGACTAATGAGACAGATGCCCGCAGTTGGGAAGCAGGACACTGGCAGCCCGCGGCCAGCCCCGTGAGCCCCTGGTGTGATCGGAGCTCCTCCTCGGGACCGGCCGCTGCTGGGCTGCGCCGCGATCTGCATGGCCAGCATCGTCTGCAGCTGCTCACCCTCCTGCTGCTGCTCTTTTTCTTTTCTTTCTTTTTTCTGATATGAGGGTTTGAACCCAGGTCTGCTTGTTCTGGCTGATATTCGACCGCTTGTACCACACCTCCAGCCTAGCTTTTTGCCAGTTATTTTGGAGATGGGGTCTCATGGACTTTTCTGCTTGGGCTGACTTCGAGCCACGGTCCTCTATATTGCCGCCTCCTGATTGCAGACAGGCGTGAGCCACTGGTGCCCGGCCCTCCCGGTGTTCTTCCTGGCCTGGTTGTGCCTCTCCTCATCCCTTGGAGGGGACATTTGGGAGGGTCCCAGCCGGGCCGATCTTCCTGGGCTGTGGTCTTGGGGGCAGGCGTGCCCGTAGCATTGCTGGATCATGGGTTGCAGGTTCAACGGTTCACCTTGATGGTGGGACACCAGAGAGGTCACTCTTCCCAGGGACCAGTCCCTGTGTCGCTCACGTCCCGGTCACCACTTAGCCATTCTGTAGAGGGACCCTGCTCTTCCCAGCTAACAGCCTTGCCGGGGAGGTCTCGGCCTTGTCTGTACCTGGAAGGCCAGGCTACCTGGACTTGGGCCTCGTTAGGAGCTCCGAGGATCCTGGGAGGCTGGGATGGCCTCAGGTCACAGAGGTGCCGTGGTCAGTGGGGCCTGTGGGTGCGGGAGGTTTAGTGGGGCCCAGGACAGAGCCTCCCCCTGCCCGCCCATCCCGGCCTCCTCAGAATGGAGCTGTGAGGGCCCCCTCAGCAGCTGAGTGTTTCTGCCTTCTGATTGGCTGGTGAGGTGAGCATTCCTGCCCTCTGATTGGCTGGTATGGTGAATTACTATGGAATTACGACAGTGGCACTTCCTGGTACCTGATCTCATGGTTGTACTTGGTCCCTAACCAAGGTCCAGGACAAGGAGGGCAAGGTTTTCAAGTCTGGACAAGCAGTGGGGCGGAGCTTCGCCCCCCACGGAGACACCTTTGGGGCCGCTGGGGGAGGCTGCAGGTTGTTGGTGTCTAGCTAGCCACGGGGTCCCAGAGAGAGCTGGGGAGGTGGCTTCAGCATGAGACCATGAGGCCTGGAGCTTGGCCCACCAGGGAGGACCTGTGTAGGCAGCTTCCAGCCCCAGCCCTGGGGGGCCCAGGCGAGGCGCTGTGGAGAGGTTAGATGGGGCCGGAGGAAGGGTCAGCTGAGCCTC